CCTGGGAAAAGGGCGACGCGAGGGAAGAAAAATGGCTTTGACATTCAGTCGGGCAGGCCCAGGGAGGTAACAAGTTCACAGCCCTTTCACAAAACATGGCCGCCTGCTGTGTGATGGATCACGGAGCCTCAGATGGGCTGTCAGGGGTGGGTCTCAGGGAGGAACCGTGGAAAGCCAGTCGCCCCGGGAAGAAGGGAGTCATCCTGACAGTTGAACAAATGAACTCCTGATGGCTGTGATATAAGCACCTCCGACGGCGATCTGAGTCGCTCCATATGGAGCCACAATGCTGCTGCTAAGAAACGACAAGACGGATGATGGCGCAGCAGCTCCACGTCGAACTCGAGGACCGATTCAGTGGTTCTTCACGTATTTGTTCTCAAATAAATATGTCAGAAACAGAACGCATTCTGCCGAGTGAAAAGGTGGCGGGAAGAAAAGCCCGGAGGCCTCACTATAGTCCAGCTCAACTGTAACTGACAGATGCTTTAATTAAAATGAGCCACAGCTAATCAAGAGCCCTGAACCTCACACGGTTTTATCCTGTAAAGGGCCAATTCAACAAATTATAGTGGACTGGAACAGTCACAGTAGAAAGGCAGAGGTGATTTATCATTGTCTTTGACGGTGGAGCTGTTCTCTCTGATTCTAACGTCGGCCTAAACCAGGTCTACACGTTTACAACCTCTTTATAACATCGATGTTAAACCCAGTTTTATATTGGATACTGATAATAGTAGATGAACAGATTAACAACGAGGATGTGGTGATAACATTTAAAGTGTGATTTTAATAACAACACTGCAGTTTTATTTACTATATTTGGGTATTTTCATATATTTGAGTTATTGATGATGAGGTACAAAAAATCCCAGTATTTGGACTCTTACTAAAGAACACTTTAACCCAGTATTTAAGGTCCTTAAAGCAAATACTCTAACCTAGTATTATGGGGTCTTAATTATAGAATATTGTATTCCAATATTTTTGGTCCTCATATTGAATACTTTAGCCTAGTATTTGGGGATCTTCATTACATAATACTTTATCCCTTTACTCTATGGCTTAATCAAGCATACTCTAACCTAGTACTGAGGGTCTTTGTTGTAGTATACTATAAGATGTCATTGTTTAAGAGGTTGTTTTGATACTGATTTTATTTGTATTAGGTTTTTTATAGTATAAGAGCATAAAATACTCTAACCAAGTACTTGTAGTATACTATAAGATATCATTGTTTAAGAGGTTGTTTTGATACTGATTTTATTTGTATTAGGTTTTTTATAGTATAAGAGCATACTTGTTTTATTGCTGGACAACATTGGTTAAAAAGTACTACAGTCAAGCCTATGTAATATTACATTGTTATTTATCATAATTGACATACACTGTGGTGATGAGTGAGTCAAGTGTTATCTTTGAACCAAAGTGACTCTGAGCTCCATGTTTCAAAAGGAATATTCAACCTCATGACATTAGTTCATATGAAAAGAAAATATATTTTTTTAGAACTCGTTAGATGAATGGATCTGTGAGTGAGCTTCTTGAAAATATTTTAGAAATGTATATTTTACACTAAAGTAGGTCAGGAGCAGAGAATCACGCTCACTTAGAATTTTAAATTCAAAGTGCTTTTACTTAAAGTGCCTGCAAACACTCACCGTGGAGGCCACTGACAAACCTTTATTCTCCAATGACAAAGTCGACAAATAAGACAAATATGTTGTGCTCGCCAGTGTTAACGTACGAGACAATGAAAACACTTCAAACACCAGCACTTAACTGTGTGACACAAATATAATCAAGGCTGGTCAACCATTAAAATACCAGCATCAGTATCCGAAAATAAAATGTTTCTCTACACTATGAGAAAAAGACCCAGCAGGATTGTTTCACTCTCACCTCCTTTCCATGAACACATCTACCAGAAAATAAACACATGAGTAGAAGAAGTGGCTCATAAAAAAAGATGAACTTTAACAATTTAAAAAAACAAACAAAGAAAAAAATCACTGTATCTGTATACATTTCTATAGGCCATACCTATTGCTATTTTGGGCTACTTTTTAATTTTTAATTTTTTCTATATTTTAGTTTGTCTTGCCGTATTATTGCATTTTTAAATAATTTAATTAGCATTTCTCGTCTTTCTCCTAAGTTTTAAACTTTTTGCTGTCCTTTTGAAATTGCAAAACATCTTATTTTTTGTTTGTTATATTTTTTGTGTTTTCCGCACGTTGACACGTTCATATCTACTGCTTCAAATCTGAACCGAACTTTATTTATAAACTTTGTGATTCCTCTGAACCTCAATATTCTAATTGAACAAAAAAAATTAAATGGCCAGTCGGCACAATTTAAACAAATCAACAAATATTATATATGAAACTTTTTTTTTTTGTTACTTTTCTTCTGCTATGGCTCTGCGCCTTCTTGGGGGGGACGCCTCCCCCTTTGGGAACCACTGTTCTAAAGTAACTGTTGCAGCTTTAGTGGAAACACGGTTAGGAGTCACGAGTTAAATTTAAGAGAAACTGATGAATAAGTTGTGACTCAACACTTTGATCCGAACCAGTTGTTATTTCAGCTTGTAATAAATAAATAAGTAAATAAATCTTTCCACGCTTTCTCTCTCTCGCTCGCTCTTTCTCGCTCTCTTGACTTTTTCATTTTCAAAGTGGCTTCACAAAATGGATGCCCAGATTTATCAAGGTCGTCCTGTGATTTTTTTGTGAATACTACATTTTATTTTTTATAGTTTCTAGGCAGTCACAGTGATGCAAACAATTGCTAGGTTTGACGCACATTTTTTGTTTGGTTAATATGACAAAAGTTTGCTGTAATAGGCCACGCCCACATCCAGTTTCCTCCAGTCAGCATTTGGCTGAAAAACAGAGGAACTTGCTGCGTACATTACTGTTTAGATGCTGTTTTATTTCAGATTAGTTTGTGCTGCGTGGTGAAGACGAGCTCCAGCTGATCGCTCATCTAAATCAGTTCACCAAAGCTACAGACAGCTGTCAGTTGTCTCCTTTTTCTCAGCATTGAATTTAGAAAAAAAAAAAAAGAATGAATGTGTTTCCGAAACAAATTGCCGACCTCAGTTTGTGTAAAATTTGACACTGTGTGTGAGCCGTGAAGTGGACTCAATCATTCAAACATCAGCGGTAGTTCTAACAGCATCTTTGTGGAGCAGAAAGTGTGGGAGACATGACAGGAATGACGACCAACCAGAGGGGTCAGCTATGCCTGGTATGTCAGAGTTGACGACAGTAGTCCCCTCTACTGTAAACATGCTGAAGTGCGGCTTATCGCCGGGAGAAAAAAAATAACAGGAGGCGGTGAGGGAGGAATGTAAAACACTGACTGAACATTCTTCTTTTTCATCTTCCCACAGTCAACAGGTACGACTCAGTTGATCAGCTGTTGTTAAACACTCTTCTGTCTGCTGCACTCAAAAATATATAAATTATAAAGATAATACTGCAGAAAGTTTGGACAGGAACTTTTTCCCTCTGCTATAATAGTTTCAAAATAATATATATATATATACTAAAATACTTTCTTATATTTTAACATGTCATATAAATATCTAGTGTTTCCTCACAAATAATTCAAATAAACTGACACAAAACCACATTTATAAACCACTACTTTTACTTTGAAAAACCCAAATTCCTTAATATATACCTTATAAATAAACCACTACTTTATATTTGCTTTGTTATTGAATAATAAGACACATATGAAGTGTGTCATTCTGCACAGATATTCAACACTAACAAAGGTCCCTGGGTCCTGGGTCGTCCCCTGTGACTGACTTCTTGTGTATAATCCACATGTATGCGCTGTATAAACAAGCATCACTGAAATGCACCGTGAAAAAAATAAAAAATAAAAAAAGTGTCCACGTCACGTAGACAACTCCATCTATAGTGCCCAGACTGTGCCCCACTTTCACAGCTCAGGAATAATAAACCTGTCAGAAACACGTCTCCTGGGAGGACACTGCTGACACATTGTTGACAGTGGCAAGGCATGCTGGGATGGCTAATGGGACAGGCCCTCAGGGGTGCCTCAGATGGAGGACAGCCACAGACAGGTGAGCAGTCTGATGGGCTGTGTGTAAAATAGTCATCAATCATTACCTCGCTGCTTGTGTTAGCTCTCGGAAACGCCGCGGCAAAAAGGTCGAGAATCACAATATTTGGACTGGAAAAAACTGCAGAAACACTGATCAAAACTGGAGGAGTGACTGAGAAAAAAATGAAATGATGACGATTTAATAATAATAACAGCAAGATAGGACATGTATGTCCAGATAGTGACGACGTGACTGACAGCCTTCGTGCTCCGTCCTCAACCCTTCACTGCAGAGACACGACGTAGAAGTTTTGTGGCAGAAAAACAAGAACCAGCTCTGCCAAAACTTCAAATGTGATCATGTCTTTGTTCCCAACACACACACTCTCTCTCACACACACACACACACACACACACAAACCACACATGGAGTGAACAATGAGCCCACAGTGTGTTCGTGATTTCTGACTTATCCAGACCACGTGTCAGCCTTCACTGAACTCATCCACACACACACACACACACACACACATGCACCACAGCATCTGAGCTGATCATCTGAACAGTTTCCACATGTCGTGCCGACGGGGGTGAAGGGAACAGCTGAACTTTCTGCACTCTTCCTGCACCGTGGCTGCAACAACTCTGAGCTAAATGGGTTTTTTTTTTTCTGAGATTCTGAGATGATGCCCAGCGTCTCAGCGTACGCTGTGTCAGTCAGTGTTTGGTACTCAGCTGCACAGCAGTCAACACACAGACGCACACAAAAGTGGATTTAAAAAGTCAGAAGACACGCTGATGTGAACACGAGCGGAGGCTCAGTGGACGCAAACAAAGCAGGAGTTTAAAGACGGGGCAAACGACAGAAGAGAGAAGTGGAAAGTGAGCAGTTGTTTAGTGTTTCCTGAACCACTGACCTGGACAGCACAGCAAACAGAGCGCCGGTCAACGTCCTCTTATCTCGCCTCTCCTCCTCAGATTTCACACTCCTGCTCCCTCCTGGCTGCCTTTTGAAGTTGGTGCCTGCGCTGTTTCTGAGGTGAAGTCAGTGGTCGGGAAGATGAAGTGTTGAGGGAGAGGAAGAGTGGAAGATGTGGCTGAAGTCTTCCTCTCTGGTCTCCTCATCCTGCTCCTTTCTCCTCTGCCTCTCTTTACTTTCCCTTCTGTGTTTGACTGGCTGAATTCTGCGCCTCCTCTTGGTCCTCCATTGCAAAGAAAAGAAAAACATACTACTTGGAGAGGAGGAGAAAACATTAGGGAGAGAGAGAGAGAGAGACTGAGTGAGTGAGAGAGAGAGAGCGAGAGATAGGGAGAGAGAGAGAGCAGCAACAGTCACCTTGTCTCCCTCTGTTCAAATTTAGAGGCTGGATTTCAGGCTGCAAGGCAAACTCTACTGGGCATGCCCACAACCCAGAGGCACAGTTTGTAATGAACACTTACTTCCTCTCTTGCACTGGTTTTCTCCCCCCCTCCCTACCTCCCTCCCTCCCTCCCTCATGGCTCTCTCTCCCTCCCTTACCCCGGCTCCCCTCCCCTGTACTCCCTCCACCCCCTTTTAACAGGTCTCAAGTACAGCAGGGATTAGAAAAAGCTGCCGGGACTAAAGTCCAAATGACTCTGAGGAAAAAACATGAAACTGGAGCAATGCAGGGTTTTTTTTTTTTGTTTTTTTTTTATCAGAGACAGATCATGTGAGGCACAAGATTTAATCACAAATTCCATTAAAAAATAGTTAAAAAAACCAACTTTTTTTAAATTTAGTTTTGTTGAATCGATCAGATCTGTCTGTCCTTTAGTCTCGTCAGATCTGATCAGAAAACGTCACAGGAAATGACAGGATCGTCAATTTTCCAGCCTCGTTTCTGCCAGAGAAAAATGAACAATAGAACCATATATTGAGGCAGAGATGACGTGCACGTCCTTAGAGTCGGTTGATTTTATCCCTCAGATGCACGTTGACACACTGAGAGCTAAATCAGTACAGCCATGTATTGTTTCCTTCAGCCCGTGTGACGTCAGCCTGGTGTCTGTGCTATCTCAGGCGACCAGCACTGACCCAGATTCTCCCCAGCACATCAGGACACAATGTTTCAAACCCCGACTATGGAAAGAGGACAACAAGTTCAGAGGGGGACAAAAACACAGAAGAAGAAAAAAATCTCCCTACATCTGTGTTGTTGTAGCCAATAAAACGTCTGACAAAAAGACTTTCAGATTTGGTCTAGAACCTATAGGCCCAAGCTGCTGCTCCACACTTTTCTTCCATTTCCTGATTTGTAACAACAACAATGTAATCCTGGAGCAACCCATCTGGGACCTGGAAGGGTGGCTATCAGGGCCAGGTCAAGGAGCAGGAGGTCCAGACGGCTGGAGGCACAACCCCGAGAGGTCAACGGTCATGGGAAACAGTGGGTCAATATGAAAATTAGAGGTCAATGCCACCGCTGGATGAGCCGCAGTGGCATGTGTCTGGTTCACGGAGGTTTGATGGAGTGATAGGGAGGGAGAGGAGAGATTGAAATTAAAAAAGCTGCAGAGTGGAACAAAGGAGGAGGGGG